GTGTGTGTGTGTGTGTGTGTGTGTTTCTGTTTTGTTTTTTTGTTGTTGTTTTTTGTTGTGGGTATGTGTTGTCTATGTAACAAAAATAAAAAAATAGAAAAAAAGATGGGGAAAGGGCAGAACTTGTAAAATAACATGTCTGTCTGTCTATCTGTCTCTGTCTCTCTCTCTATCCTATCCTATCCTATATCAGCAAATTTATATGGACATCCATCTCACACAGGGTGACTCTGGGGGTTGTACAATAAAACCAACAATTAAAACAGAATATAAAACCCAGTTAAAACAAATAAATATAAGTAAAATTACAAGAGGGCTAAATAAGAATACATGATGGACCAATGAGTAGGTCTGATGAAAAAAAAGCAAGTTTTGAGAGCTTTTCAAAAGGCTAACCTCATTTCAAGTGGGGGGATGATGTTTTGGAGGTTGGGGCCACAGCAAAAAATGCTCATTTCCATTATGATAAAGGAAGTGTCAAATTGAAAGCCCTGGCAGTTCACCATGGCAGAATTGAAGGTCTGGGAAATTGTGAAAAGCAGGGCTATAAGGCTAAATTGTGTTCAAGATTTGAAAAGGAAAAGATAATTCAAGAGTGCATCTGACCACACAATTAGCACCCACAGCACTTTTTAAAACCAAATCTCCCCCCCCCCTTGGGATTTGGGTACTAGGTGTCAAAGGAACCCAAAACAAGTCTCAGTTTCTTTACATAGTTGCCGACAGGTGAGCATTCTTCCCACCCTGCCTTTAGCATTTTTCATATTTCTTCACAGTTCCAGGTTGTAGTGACACAAGACCACACGTGCGTATTGTCAGAGTTTTGGCAGCATGACTATTATTATAAGATAAACCCAGGAGCAAAATACAGCACACAGAGCCTTTAGACAATTAAATATAAAGAAATATATACAGACATATATGAGGTAGATAAATCCCTTACCATTCAGCTACGGACATAAAGAGAGAAATTTAAAACATTACATCAGCTGGCAGCTATTAAATCATCATTACCTGACACCTATGTTCTCTAAATAGGAGTGAACATTCTTTTGCAGGACAATTTCAGATCATTACTAAGTTTACAACAAGATTCTCCTTGAATCTAATGAGTCCAACAAGACTGCCTCTACTTCTTACCTTGAGGCCAGAAGTTCTTTAGAGGATAATAGCTGCCTGCAGGTTTTCCAAACTGAATTCTGAAGAATAACAGGAACATAAGCAGGGAACATAATAGGTTCATTCTGAAATGCAGCAGATCTAAGATTTAAAAAAAATGAAGGAAGCCAGAACACTTAAATCAGGGTTTTCCAAACTCTGTGGTATACATCCCTTGGCCAAGTGCAAACAAAGTCCATGGGAGGTGAAAAGAACCTTTTAGTTATTTGTAACTAACTTTTCACATCTCTTTCAATCTTACTTTGGCTGACATCTTCAGTTTTTCATCTAAGCCTTTGTTATACTTTATCATTCATCTCTACTTACAATAATTTATCTTTTTACAAAGTATCACTTTCTCTCTTTCTTTCTCAACACACATGAAAAGAAAAAAAAGGATTTACTGTGTTTAATTGTGCTTTCCAACTGAAGGATATTACTTAATTGAATAGGAGGAAGATAGCAATGAATTTGATAAACACTATTTCTTGAAAGCATGATATAGTCAAAAAATCCCATGACTTAGAATTGAAATCTGCACACAAAAAATTATTTTTGATAAAAACATTGGTATAGACACCAGGAAGAGGTTATAGATACAGTATTCATACAGCCTTTATTATTAAGGACAGTTCTTTATTTCAGAAATATGTCCTTTAATTTAATTTATTTGTCAAAAACTCACTTTAGATCTTGGGTCATTTAACTTTTACTGTAAAAATGGTACCATTTAGTACACAATATTTCACATTCATGTGAAAAATATGGAAATTAACTTGTATTTTTAAAATAAATTTATACATACTGTTTGATTTTATATTTTTTATTAGAATATGCATTTTTATTTTTATTTTCTTAGTTTTGCTCTTACATTTTGTTTTGTAAAGCAAAGTTATAAACAACTACATGTGTTATCTTTATGAACCTCTTTTAGAGTTGTCCCTTTTTCAGGTTTGTCCTTTATTTTTTCCAAGAAATATGGCCACATTAGTTATAGAAGAAATATTTTGTAGAATATATCTAAAATAATCCCAGTTCCACTTTGATATGGCTCAGAATCATTGGTAGGAAGCAAGCTCGGTGTCCATGGTGCATGCATGGGTGTTGTGGGGGTGGGTGGGTTTGAGTATGAACTGAATATAAAATTAAACTCAGGTTTTCAATCTTCTGGTTAAGTTCCACTGTCAATCAGTTTGAAAGTTGGTTCATTTCCTGTTGGCTTTGGTTGTCCAATCACACAAACACATTACCTCTGCTTTGCTGCTTTGCTACCTTACCTAATGATTTACTACTTTTAATTATTACTAATTATTGTAATAATAGCCCTTAATTTAAGTCTAATATATTATTACACCATTAATGGTCCGTCTCTAAATAGAAATTCCAATGCGTGGCAAAAATAGTTATTTACAGATAAAACATAATAGGGTTTTTAAAAAATGCATTCACAAAACAAGAACCTTGTACACTCACTGGCACGGCACTGACATTATTGTGGATCGAGACCTGCCATTCTCTTTCAATGTCCTATGATTTATTAGTGCCTTAAGCTGCATTCTTATTAGCACACAATGCAGCTGTGGATCAGAAAAACGGGAACATGGGTGGAAGAGAGCCTGGCCCTTGCACCTCTGGAAAGAAGAAGCCATGGTTCAGCTGAGAAGGCAGCATTTCTAGACAGCCTCTCCATCTAATGTTTTGCCAAGGTTCTCCATTCTTTGCAGAGTTTGCCTGACCAGTCAGGATCAAAGAATGTTGTTGGGAAAAAATAAGACTTGAGAGCAGTTTTTCAAACTTGTAGCACAGAAAACATTTATAACTGACTATTATGAAGAAGACAAGCAGATGTAGAGCATACACAGAGAGTAGGCATACATTCATGCAAGGAGAAAATTTAATTAGAGTGAATTAAATGTGATTTGAAACAGAGGGATTGTTATTCAGCGTACAAACTTTCATTCCCATTCCACCACTAATGAACAGGTTACGTATGTTTTCCAAATCCAGCTAACCCTGCTTGGCCAGAGGCAAAAGGAAGACAAAAGTTGCCGGTATGAGTAAATACATACTGTATTAAGTGCTTCTACTTCTAAACACTTTCCCCTCTTAAACAGCAACAGCAAGACCATTTTTTAAAATCACAATCTGCCTGCAATCTACAACGACAGTCCTACACCCTTTTCAAAAGTGTTCCAATTGATAAAAATGCATTTGAGGCTGGGAAGGAGAGGTATACGATGCACGGCTAGTTACTTGAAATATGACAGTGGAACCAAAACTAGGAACATTTTCTGCAGAATCCCATTTAATGCAATAGAACAAACTTTTGAATAAATATGCACAATTCTCTAGCATAATTTGCAATCCTGTTGTCTTTAGTGGATTTTATCCCAGATAAAGAAGTGTTTGTATAGGTTTGCTGCCCCCACCCATAGTTTCAACATCCTTAGCTTTACTTACCTAAGTTTTTCCTGCAATGTCCAGGCCCAAAGTCTTGATCTCTTGGAAAAAGATGAGATGATCTCTGCTATAGCTCTCCCCTCATTCTTAAGGCCGGGGTCTGAATTATTGAATGCCCTTACTGGTGACATCAGCAAAGATGGACCCGCCTCTAGTTCATATTTTTTAATTTCCCTGCCTAAGTAGCATTATTGTATCTTGAAGGGTAGACCCAAAACTATTTCCGTAAGCATTGTTTCATTAAACCGTCTTCTCTTTCTTTTCTTCAACCAGATCAAAATAATTCTGCTTTCCTTTTCTTTACAGCCAAGCCAGAACAATTAGTATAAATAGACTGAAATCAATTTGCTCTATTACACTGAAATTATTAGCAACAAAGAAGATGAGGATACTACCATTTGCTCTGATTTAAATGCTCCCTCCTCCTTCATTTCTAATCATTGAATAAGGAACCAAGCAGCTAACTGCTAGGTCTATAGCCTGCATTCTGGAAGCGTATAGAATACAAAGAGATGTCTCCAGATGGGATGTGTGGGGTGTGTATTCTCCTGTATACCAAGGTGAGGGTAGGAGTTTGATTGCATGATTGTGCCTGCCCGCTTGACTTTTTTGATGCCCCTGAAGACCCTTCGGAGGTTATAGCCATACAATTTGCACAACATGGAAATTGGGAAGAAAGATCTTGCTGTTGAATTATCTTTACACTTTTGATTGATTGATTGATTGATTACATTTATATGCTGCCCTTTTCCCCGAAGGGGACTCAGGGCAGCTCACAATTCAATCAGGGAAGGAGATACAAACAGGGGAAAAAAAAAGACGAGACATAACAATACAAAATTTAAAAACACACAACAACCATACCATTCGAAA